TTTCTGATTGTTAAATTTTTTTTTTTTTTTTTTTTTTTTTTGTCTTTGAAACAGGATGATGATTGGGGGAACATCAAAATAAAAAATGTAAGTATTGACTTATTGTAGTGCAGTAACCTATTGCACCAAAATAATTTCCAAATGGCTTTTTTTTGTATATATATCCAGTTGTTCACATGCCATATATTGAAAATGCTTTCCTTTTCCCATTCATTTGTCTTAGTTTTTCTTGAAATTATCAATTGTAGGTCTGTTTTTGAGCTCTTACTTCCTTGATCTTAATTAATTACCAAAGCTTTTAAAAAATGTTCTGAAATAATACAAGTTCTCCAACTTTTTCTCATTTTTCAAGAGTATTTTTGTTCATTTGTATTTACTTCGCGTCTTAAGTCTGTCAGTTTGTATAGTTTGGTGCCTGGGATTTTGCTGACAATTACATATAATGGAGATAATCAATCTTCGTATTGAGTATTATAATCCCTGAATATATACTTCCCCATTTATTTAGTTTTTTTTTGTTTTGTTTTGTTTTTGAGGCAGGGTCTCACTATGTACTTGAGACTGACCTGGAACTCACTATGTAGCCCAGGCTGGTCTCAAGTGATCCTCCTGCCTCAGCCTCCCAAGTGCTGGGATTATAGGCATGCGCCACCACACCTGACTATTTAGTAGCCTAGAAGAATTGAAGTTTTTCAGTATGAAGATTAGCAAGTACTCTACCACTAAGCTATAATCTTTCCTTCCCCCTTTTTTTTAAATATAGGGATTGAACCCAGGGCCCTCACACTGAGCTAAGACTCCACTCCTGCCTTTTAAAAATTTTTCAGACTGTATCTCACTGAGTCACTAAGTTGCCCAGGCTGGGCTTGAACATAGGGTTCTCTTTCCAGAGTGTTAGGGTCACAAGCATGCACCACCATGCATGTGGCTTTTATTTTATTTTGTAACAGGGTCTCTTAATAGTTCTAGTAGTTTTTATAGATTCCATTGAGTTTTTGATGTATATAGCCATATGCTGTGCAACTAATGACAGTTTTACTTCTCTGTATGATTTCTAATATTTTGGTGGTGTAATTGATAAACAGTGACTTCTGATTTTTTTCTTGCCTAACTTCTTGCTTGACTTCTAGTAGTCTTGAATAGAAATCGATGAGAGTGAAATTATTATTATTATTATTATTTAATGGTACAGAGATACTTTACCACTGAACTATATATTCCCAGTCCCTTAAAAAAAATAACACGGGGACATGTGAAATTGCAGAGATTAATTTGTGACCCTGCTGCCATTGTGCCCAGCTCACAGGGTAGTTTATAGATAAAAGGTAGATCCTCTGAAACCATGCTAGTGACTAAATTCCCACAGTACACTAAAATCTGTTTGTCCCCTTTATAGTTAGCATGAATTTCACATTGATAAATAAATGATTTTTATAGCCTATATTGCTCATTTGGAAGAGGCTGGTGTCCTAAATTGTTTAGATCTTATATATGTTCGTGCATTTCATTACACAATAAAAACATTGCATTCTTTAATATCATTACCATTCTCAGAAAAATCTTTATTGGAAAGCTGCCAAGTGTGTGCTGACATAAAAATCCTAATTTCGCATAGATGCTCTAATTTTATCATTGGCAACTATAAATATTGTCACTTGTTTTCCTTTATGTGACAGGCTCACTTTGTTCATTTTGAGGAAAAGTAAGCTAAATGTCCACATCCAGAGAAATTATGATTTGTGGATTAAATAAAACTGGTATTACATAAGAAAAGCCCCTAGACCACAACTCTAAGTTGCACATGTGCTTTTCCTGAGGACTATTATTGCTTACTGATTGCAACACGTTTTTATGGGCACTTCTTATTTCTAATACAGAATATCTAAAGGAAGATACTCAGAAGTTGAGATTTAATAAAATTAGTCATTTTTATTCATTTTGTTGTCACTGCCTTGATACATGGTAAACTATCAGTTTTAGTATCAATATAATGTTGGAATAGTGGACATTTGCACATATATATATATATATATTCATGAGGTCTATTAGTCTGTATTTCCTAACGACTTTCATATTGTGATCAGGGTCATGATGGATACACAAAAGTTGGGAAAAAATTTATTATCTTTTCTGAGTAAATTTAAGGTTTTGATTTTTTTTTTTTTAAGTATTTGAAATAAGTTACCATTGAATGCTTTCTGGACCCGAGTTTTCTTTATGTGGATTTGTTTGATCAGTATTCAGTTTCCTTAATAGATGTAGAGCTTTTTCAGATTTTTATTGTTGCTTTAGGTTTTCTCCTTTTTTTTGTAAAACACTTCTTAGGATTTTGATCTTTCAAGGAATTTATTTCACTTGTGGTGAATTAATTGGCATAATGCCCAAAATATTCACTAATTATCTTTTAGTATCTATAGCATCTTGTTTTGTTTTGTTTTGGTTTTTTGAGACAGGGTCTCGCTATGTAGTTGAGACTGACCTGGTACTCACTATGTAGCCCAGACTGGTCTCAACTCACAGCAGTCCTCCTGCCTCAGCCTCCCAGAGTGCTGGGATTATAGGCATGCGGCACCACGCCCCCACCAGGCCGGGCTTTAGTATCTGTAGCATCTTCATTTATATTTCTTCTCATTCTTGGTATTTAGTAAGATACTATATATTTTTGCTAATTGTGTTTTGATCAGTGTTGCTAAGGATCTATCGATAAACCTTTTCAGTACTTTGTTGGTTTTATATTGTTTCTCATTTTCTGTTGTATTGATATTCGCTCTTAAAACTTTACTTTTCCTCTCTGACATTTAAAATTGTTAAATTCTCTTCAAGTACTTCAAACTGTACCCATAAACTTTTGGTATGTTGTGATTTTGTTATTGTGCAATTAAAATAATTTTCTAATTTACCTTTTGATTTCTTTTTTGACTTGTGTTGTTTAGAAGTAGATTGTTGAATTTCCAATTCTTTAGAGCTTTTTCTGGAGACATTCATTTCTTTGTTTTTTGTTTTTATTTCTTTTCCTTTTTCTTTTTTCGATTTCTTTTTTTTGGTGTTTTGAGGCAGGGTCTCAATACGCTGGCTTCAAACTCAAGGAGATCCTCCTGCCTCAGCCTTCCAAATGCTGGGATTACAAGTGTGCACTGCCACCACGCCCAGCTAGAAACATTCATTTCTGACTTGATTCTCTTGTAATCATATAGAATACTCGATGTTATTTTAGTCCTTTCAAATGTATTAATACTTTTTTCCTTCCTTGGTACTGGGGATCAAACTAGGGACCTTAAGCTTTTGAGGCAGGTGGTGGCACCCCTGAGCTAAATCCCTAGCCCTTGATACTTATGGCCTACACATTTGTTTAATGTTCCATATTTGCTTGAAGACAATATATAATCTGCTGTTAAGTATTTCGTGTCAATTTTGTACTGTGGATTTTTTTTGGGGGGTTACTGTGGATTGAACTCAGAGGTACACTAACTCTGAAATACATCCTCAGCTCCCCCTTTTTTTTTTTTTGTACTGGGAATTGAACTCCGGACCTTGTGCTTTTGAGACAGGCAGTCGTACCATTGAGCTAAATCCTCTGCCCTCCAGCCCTTTTTTATTTTTATTTTGAGACAGTATCTTGCTGAGTTGCCCAGGCAGGCCACATACTTGTGATCCTCTTGCTTCATTTCCTCTGAGTACCTGGGTTTGTACTATTGAGCCTGGTAGTGGTGGCAGCTGCTGATGCTGCTTCTCTTTTTTCTCCTTCTCTTTTCCCTCCTTCCCTTCTTCTCTGTACCCTGAATCACCACCCCCGCAAAAAGGTGTTTGTTTTGTTCTGTGGTGTGGGAGGTTGAACTCAGGTTGTGCATACTGAGCTGCAGCCCCAGCACTTTTCCCTCCCCCATCCTTTAATTCTGAGACCAAGTTGTTCAGGCTGGCCTTGAAGTTGTGGTCTTCCTGCCTTGGCTTTCCACAATGCTGGGAATCACAGATGTGTGCCACCATGCTCAGCTGATTTCCTTGTTCTTCCTCAGAAATTTCTTGCTATTGTCATGGATATAAATTCACTATGTTTAATCAGTTTGTAAAGTTTAAAAAAGGAATTTCATTAAATTTATGATATCTTTTCAGTAACTTAATTTTTCCAGGTCATAATCCTGTCATGTCCTTTTACTATTTAACCCCTCCACCCCCATTAAATCCAGGGCCTCACGCTGCTGAGCTACATCCCTAGCCTTTTTTAAAATTTTTATTTTGTGTTTGATACGGTGGTGAACAGCTGTAATCCTAGCACTTGGGAGGCTGAAGCAGGAGGGTTTCCATGAGTGAGGTCAGCCTGGGCTACTTAGTGAGTTCAAGGCCAGGCTAAACTACAAAGCTAGAGCTGTCTCAAAAAAATTTTTTTAGGCTGGGGATTTAGCTCAGTGGTTCCGCTGCCTGCCTTGCAAGCACAAGGACCCGAGTTCGATCCCTGGTACCAAAAAAAAAAAAAAATTTAATGGCAGAGTCTTGCTAAGTTGTCTAAGCTGGACTGGAATTGGTGATGTTCCTACCTCAGCCTTTTGAGTAGGTGGCATTACAGGTATGTGCTTCTATACTTGTGTTAGGTTTTGTGTTTTTTTCTTAGCATCTCTAAATAAAGTTAATAATTTTCTTATTGAAGTATTACATATTTTTTGTTATATTTATTCTTGATGTTTGTTGGTATTCATTTCTCTGTGTTTCTAGCTAGTTATTGCTGGTATTATTCTTTAAATATTTGATATTTGAGACCATTGCCTTTAGAAAAAGACTGGACTGTTTAGTGACTTAGTACTGCTTTGCTATTGTCATAAAAAGTCTATGGAAAAATAAAAAGTATAGAATGCAGGTATTGGATTCAACACAGGCATTCTTAAGACTGAATTTGTTGACTTTTCTAATTTCCTGATTTTCCATCCTCATTTGGGTATTTGAAAATTTTTCTCTGGCTCTTATTTTCTTCCCTGTTTTGTTGCTGCTGTTACTTTAAACTTCCACTTCTGGAATTACTTTCTTTGTCTCATCTGTTCATGTCTTTCATCTACTGAGTAAGAGAGTACACTGTTGTTCAGATAGCAAGACTACAGTGTCTTGCCGGGTGTGGTGGCGCACGCCTGTAATTCCAGCACTCAGAGGCTGTGGCAGGAGGATCGCTGTGAGTTCAAGGCGAGCCTGGGCTACATAGTGAGTTCCAGGTCAGTCTAAACTACGTAGTGAGACCCTGTCTCAAAAAAAAAATACTACAGTGTCTTCATTGTTTATCTGTTGTATGGAATGTTTACACCTGAGTTTGTGCATTTAATGTGTAGAATTCTGAAGTTGAATATTTTGCACTGATTTATTGTTTGATTTAATGTTTTCTAGTAAAGCAGACTTCAGTGCTGTGAAAATATTTGCATTCAATATAAATAGTTGTTACATAATAGGCTTTATAGAAAGAATTTTATTACTTTTAGTTTGTTGTGAGGAGAAAATATGCCACTGAATTTTAATGATCATTGAAAGAATTCCCTCCCACTCCAGTGTGCGAAATATTAGCAGTATTTTATTTGTTTTTTCTTTGTGTTTATTCAGGTATAATTTTATGGAGGATAAAACTGAGCTGTTTCTTATGTAAAATTTAATTAATATAGCTAATTTTATACAGTTGTATAATCACCACCATAATCAAAATTTAGAACTTTCATCACTCTAATTTCTTTGTGCTCATTTGTAGATAAACAAGTGACCTCTAGCCTTGAGCAGCCTCCTCAAAGCTTTTTTTTTTGAAGAATTCATTGATTTTTAGTAGTTTATTTACAGAGTTGTGTAACTTCACAATCTCATTGTAGAACATTATCAGACAAAGTTACTCTCTCATTATATCACCAGCTGTTAGTAACTGGAATCTACTTTCCACAGAGAGACCTTTTTTGCCAATAAAATATGTGTCCTTTATATTTCTCTTTTTTTATTGGATATAAACATAATTAACTCTAGAGAATTTCCATGAAATTAAATTTTTGTATATATATAACAGGGGATGACTTTACTAATGATGGGGTCAGCAGATGCTCTTCCGGAGGAACCTGCAGCTAAAACTGTCTTCGTTGAGGACATGACAGAAGAACAGTTAGCTTCTGCTGTAAGACATAGCCCATTTTGTGTTTTGATCTCTACTTTTGCACTGTAGTTATTCAGATGTTGTTCAGGAAGCAGCCATCTACGTGTTCTCATTTAATCCCTAACATTAAGATGTATGTGTTTTAGCAGTAAATAAGATTTTTTTTGCTTATTTGTGTGTTTGTTTGGAGACAGATTCTAGTTATTACTCCAGGCTGGCTTTTAACTTTCTGTGTAGTCCAGCCTGGCCTCAGAGTTGGAGTGATTCTCCTGCCTGGCATTCCAGTTTTGTGCTATCATACCTGGCTGAAACCTTTCATGTTAATTATATATAGTTTATCTTGAATATATTTTTCATTTTATGATGCTAGGGCTCAGACCCAGGATGTTGTGTGTGCTGGGCAAGAGCTCTACCACTGAGCTGCGTCCCAGCTGCTATTCTGAATGTAATGAAAAATCAGTTCAGAAATTGGCCAACACAGATGTATCAAATATTTTATTTATTTATTAACACTTAGCATTTATAATGTCATTTTTTTTAAGCATTTCTGTTCATTGTTTTGCTGACCCTTTTTTGAGACAGAGTCTCATGTTTGTCATTCACTGCGCTTTGTGAGTTTGAACTCACTGTGTAGCTGGCCTTGAATGTGTGGTGATCCTCCTCCATTAGCCTCCTGAGTGCTGGGGTCATAGGCCTGTGCCACCATAACTGGCTACTACTGCCCTATTTTCTTTCTTTCTTTTTTTTTTTGTTTCACTGTGTAATTGAGATGGACCTGGAACTCACTATGTAGCCCAGTCTGGTCTCAAACTTACAGCAGTCTTCCTGCCTCAGCCTCCCGAGTGCTGGGATTACAGGCATACATGCCCAGCTTGTGCCACCATGCCTAGCTCCTGTTTTATTGATAAACCTGTAAAAGAGTCAGGATTGATACGGTTATTATCTTATTTTCAAGAGAAGAACTCAGACAGAATGGCCAGCACAATGCAAGTAAAAATGGTTTGTCAGGAAATAAAACACCAGTATAGAGTGAAGGTAGACTAAATTGGGAGGAGCTGGTTAGTGGTATTTGATTCAGAATGTGGAGTTAAGTGATTATATACCTCATGTCATTTTGTAAAAGTGAATTGATTTTTTTTTTTTATCAGATGGAATTGCCATGTGGATTGACAAACCTTGGTAATACTTGTTACATGAATGCTACAGTCCAGTGTATTCGTTCTGTGCCTGAACTGAAAGATGCCCTTAAAAGGTAAGTCTGGAGAGAAATGGTTCAGACCTTGGTTGTGTAAGGGAGGTTCACATTTGTGTGAGCAGCATTGTTTTGGTTTTAACATCTTTATTGAGATAGTCATTTATCATACTGATTGATCCTTTTAAAGTGGTTAGTGATTTTTACTGAAAGGTTGTACAATTATCACATCTATATTTAGAGGCCTCAAAATAACCTCTTACTCATTGGCAGTCACTTCTCGTATCCTTTCATGCACCTCCAGCTTTAAGCAACAATTAGTGTTCTTCCTGTCTTACATATGTGCCCATTCTGGACATTTTGTGTGAATGGAACCATACAGTCTTTGACCTTCTGACTGCCTTCTTTGACTTAACATATTTCAAGGTTATTATGTTATGCAGTATAAGTGTCAGTGCATGCACCATCATCCTTGGCTCTTTTTAGGTTTTCTGAGTCAGGGCCTCACTGTGTAGTTCAGGCTGGCCTTGAGCTTACTAGGTGGCCCAGGTTGCCTGAAACTTTTGGCAGTCTTCTGACCTCAGCCTCCTTGGTGCTGGGATTACAGTCCAGTGTCACCATGCCTGGCTGTCGCAAATTTAAAAAATTTAAATGTTCATTGTATATTTGGATCACACCTTATATAAAGCTTTTCTGGGAAAGTGTTCTTAAACTTTTTCTCATTTAATCTTCATCCCTTCCACATTCTGGAACTTAAACACAATCATGCAGGATGTGCTTTGGGGTGGTTCTGGCTTCTTTTACTCAGCAGCAGTGTTGTGTGTATGCATCAGCGTTTGAGATGATCTGGGTTCTGGTCAATGGTTCTGTTTGTAGTTCCTGTGGTGTTGGGTGCTGTCGGTGTTGCACACAAGCACAGTTTCCCCCACAGCAAGTGCTCTCTGTCCTTCCCCTCTGTGTTACGAGTGGTCATTTCTGATCTCGTATCCTAAGGTTCTGCTGCAGCACTGTGTTTTATTTCCTTGGATGATGAGTCCTGTACTCTTGTAAACCAACTGAACATCGAAAAGCTGACAATAGAGTTTAGAAATCCTTTAATATAAACCCACATGTTAGAGGTGGGCAAACCAACTTGAAACTTAGGTAACTTAATGTCATAACAGGGAGCTAGTGCTAAATACGGGTGCGTGATTTTTTTTTGGTACGAGGGATTGAGGAAGTGTGTTACCACTGAGCTAAATCCCTGGCCCCAATAGGTATATGATTTTGATTTAAGCATTCTTTTTCTAATCTGTGTATAATGCTTTAAATGAACAGAAGCAGAAGAGAACAGTAACTCTGAGAAACTTGGGTTTGAGGGTATTGGAAGCTCTTTTAGATTTTTTTTTTGTTTGTTTGTTGTTTTGAGACAGGGTCTCACTGTGTGGTTGAGACTGCCCTGGAACTCACTATGTAGCCCAGGCTGATCTTGAACTCACAGTGATCCTTCTGCCTCAGCCTCCCAAGTGCTGGGATTACAGGCATGCGCCACCACGCCCAGCTCTTTTAGGTTATTTTTGAGTTTCAGAATGAATGTAATACTGTTAATTCTGCCTTCGCTTTCCCAGGTATGCAGGTGCCTTGAGAGCATCAGGGGAAATGGCTTCAGCACAGTATATTACTGCAGGTCAGTAAATTAAAACACTGCTTTAGGGGTGGGGGATGATAGTCAATAAATGTTATTTTTCATTCTAATCTATCTGTTCATTACCTTCAATTTATAAAATTTTTTGTGCAATATCTCATTTATGTTTACATGGAATAACTTGGAAATTATTGTATTATCTAAATTCTAAGCCAATAGTGGATATTCTTTTTGAAAAGTGATCTTTGGATGTTTTGAATTACAGTTTGGTTTCAGGTTCTTTGGGGAATAATTTGGGGGATAGGTAGAAGTAAGTTTTGTCATGATTGATGTGATCATCTTAAGTCTTAGTGGTTGTTAAGAAGGACTGTCAGAGGAGAAGGAGAAATTCTTTTTTTGTGATGCTAGGGATCAAACCCAGGGTCTTGTGATTGTTAGGTAAGCACTGTACTTGTAAGCCACATTTCCAACTGTAGAAATTCTTTAAGGGTAGAAATAACTTGTTTCTTTATTACATGAGAAGAATTTTGGACAGTAATTACAAATGAGCACTCTATTAAATCATTGGACTTGATTGGTAGGTCTGTTTGTTTGTTTGCTTTTTGGTACCCGGGATCAAACTTGGGTCCTTGGGCTTGCGACTTAGGCTGCGGAACCACTGAGCTAAATTCCTGGCCCATTAGTAGGGTTTTTTATTGTTTTTTTCCAACAGCTTTATTGAAATGTAATTCATATGCCATATAATTCACCCATTTGAGGTGTACAAAAATTTCTTCTTTCTGGTGCATTCACAGTTAATTTTAGGACATTTTGACGAAAATCACTTCAAAAACCAACTTAAGTGGGCTGGGATATAGCTAAGTGGTAGAGTCCTGGGTTCACTGGCAACACAAAAAGAAAGGGAAAAGCCCTGACTGCATAACACAAGTCCATAACATTGAGTAGTAATCTTTTTTCCTCCTCTCCACTCCCTCTTCTATCTCAAACACTGATCTTTTTCTGTCTTATAGGCTTGCTTATTCTAACCTCTTTGGTTTTTTTTTTTTTTATTGTTTTTTTGAGACAGGGTCTCACTATGTAGTTGAGACTGACCTGGAACTCACTATGCAGCCCAGGCTGGTCTCGAACTCACAGTGATCCTCCTGCCTCAGCCTCCCACGTGCTGGGATTACAGGTGTGCACCACCACGCCCGGCCTGTTCTAACCTTTTGATGTAAATAGAATTATACAGTGTTGTGGTCTTTTGTGACTACCTTCTGTCCTGTCCCAGTAGCCTGTATCATCAGTACTTCATTCTGTGTTATCACCAGATAGCTTCCGTGGTGTGGTCATGCCACATAGCATTTGCCCTTTCATCAGTGATGGACATTGGGTTTTCTCCATTTTGACAGTTACAAATACTGCTAACACTGGTATACTAGTCTTTATGTGCACGAATGTTTTCTGTTCTCTTGGGTGTATGTCTAGGAGTGGAATTGCTGGGTCATATAGTAATTTTATGTTTAACCTTTTTGAGGAAGTTGCCAAACTATAGCCCAAGGAAATATACCATGTTACATCTCATCCAGTGATGTTGTGTTGAAGGATCTCATTTTTTGCATCCTTATCAACACTTAATATTGTAAGTCTTTTTTATACAGCCACCTTAGGGGTGTAGGGTGTTATCTCATTGTGGTCAGCCATTAATTTTCAGTGCAACCAGCAGTAGGTTTTCTTAGCATTATTTAGTTATATTTTACTCTAACCCTTTTTCCTGAAAGTGTCTTTATTTGTTGAAATTATTAATGAGAAAGTATGGCCACTTATTTACAGTTCATTTGATTTTTTGCTGTTTACCAGTAACTCAGCATTTCATCAGGTTAATAATATTGGTGGGAGGGAAATACTGTGGTTCAGATTTTTGCTTCGTTATAACTTTTAAAAAATAAATTTCAATTTACCAAAAAGTTGCATGAAGTCACCAGTAGTTTTTTAAAAAGCATGTTTGTGTTTTTATTTTTCTATAATTCATCAGTTCTCTCTCTCTTTCTCTCTATTTATTTATTTATTTTTGTGCCGGGGATTGAACTCAGGACCTGCACTTGCAAGGCAGGCGGTGGAACCACTGAGCTGAATCCCTGGCCCTTATAATGCAGTTCTGTTCAGAATCATTTTAGAGTAAAGTGGCATGTATCATGTCTTTCCCTCCTGAGTATTCGCTGTTATTTCCTAAGAATAAAGGCATCATTCTGACAATAAGATGGTCATCAATTTTTAAAATCTGGAAGTTGGAACAGTATTAAATTTAGTATTCTGAAATAGAGACTTTATTCACTACTGCCCGTGACATTCTCTCCTTTTCTTCAGGATCTAATTTAGGATCATACATAGCAGCAGTTAGTTGTCTCCGTAGTCTTTTAGTCTAGATTATGTTTGTTCACCTTTTCATTCAGACTAAAGACATAACCTTCAAGATTCTCTGTTGATGGTATATAGGAAGTAGTAATCATACAGGATTTTTTGAGTATTGTGTACTTTGTACTTTAAAATTTTATTAAAATTAAGGGTTTCTCAAATTTTAGATTTCTCTTTAAATATTTCTTAATTATTGTATTGAGTTTTTTTGTTTTTGTTTTTGTTTTTTTATTCAGGAACATTTTGTTGATTCCCGAATAGTGATGCGGGACATTTCCCACCTTAGATTTTAACGTAAAATAAGGTAGTGTTTTGCTGTACATGAAGTGGGGTGAGCAGTAGTAGCTGAAGTCAGCAGAGGTGAGCACAGCTTGGTCCAGGCTGGTGGGAGGAGCCAGCAGGGGGAAAACTTTCAAGAAGGCCAACTGGTTTTGGTGCTCACTGTGAGGTAGAGTTGGGAGTGTGTTTAAGGAGCCGGCAGTAGATAGGATCCAGCTGTGGGTATAAGGTAAGTCGGGAGCGGGGACTGATGGCCTGACAGCGGCAGAGTGGCAGAACAGTGACATCGTGTCCGTCTGATCTGTGTACAGAGGTTATGTGTTCTCGGTTTTGAATTAATAGCTGCTTTGTTTGGGAAGACAAAGGCTGTCAAGGACAGAGCAGCGCAGAGCCCCAAAGTTGTTTATAGCTAGTGATTGCTTTATAAGATCTTCTGTTGAGTTCAGATTTAAAAATGGATATTTTACTTTTTCTTATTAAGAGTCCAACATTGAGAAACTGTAGATTCACTTAAATGTAGTTAAATTAGGTTTTTGTTTTGTTTATTCATTTATTTATTTTATTTTTTGGTACCGGGGATCGAACTCGGGTCCTTGTGCTTGCAAGGCAGGCATCAGAACCACAAGCTAAATCCCCGTCGGGTTTTTGTCCTGTATTTAAGAATTAAGTGTTTGCAGTGCATGTATTGAATATGTCACTTTTTCTAAGGCAATGTTTGCTTTGTTTTTAAGCCCTTAGAGATTTGTTTGAGTCCATGGATAAAACTTCTTCTAGTATTCCACCTATTATTCTACTGCAGTTTTTACACATGGCTTTCCCACAGTTTGCTGAGAAAGGTGAACAAGGACAGTATCTTCAACAGGTAATCAGGATGAGTATTTTTTCCTTTGTAAATGTAAAATATAGGTTTCTTGCACTGACCATACTTACTGGAATATATTTGGAAATAACAAAAATCAGTCTGCTCTTATACCACCACTGTTTCTTGCCTGGAGTCAGGCAGTAGTCAGTGAACTGATTGTCCTGCTTACTTTAGCTCCTCAGCAGCATTTCTCCACACAGCACCCAGTGTCTTTAAAGATGTGAATAGGAGCTGCATATGGTGGTGCATGCCTGTAATCCCAGCCTTCTGGGAGGCTGAGACAGGAGAAGGACAGATTCGAGCTCAGCCTGGGCAGCTTGATAACTTAGCAAGACCGTGTCTCAGAATAAAAAGGACTGGGGATAGAGTTCAGTGTGAAGGCCCTGGGGTCAGACCCCAGAACCAGAGGGGGCAAAAAAGGAAATAGGGGTTAGGGGTGTAGCTCAGTGGTAAGGGCTTAGCAGTGTAGGTCCTGGGTTCAATGTCCAGCATGAAACACACCCCCCCCCGCAATAAAGAAGTGAAAATAAGGGCCGGGGACTTAGCTCAGTCATTCGGCACCTGCCTCCCAAGCACAAGGGCCTGAGTTCGATCCCGGGTACCAAAAAAAAAAGAAGCAAAAATAAGATTTTATTGGGCCCTTGGTTAGTACCACGTAGTGATTTTCTGTGCTGTCCTAATCCCCTCACCCCCGGTGCCTCTGGGACATTGTCTTCATATCACATGCTACTTTCATTGCTCTTAGCTCCCTAACTACTGCTTTTTTTCTTTACAGTCCTTATCTCTGAATTTATATTTTTGTGTATCTATGTTCCCATTAGAATTTTTCCCACTATTCCAAATGCCTATCACAGTGTAGCACAGTGTCTAGTGAATGAATGAATTGCTATTCTGAAATTCTTTTTTTGTTTGTTTTGTTTTTTGATTTTTTGAGACAGGGTCTCACTATGTAGTTGAGACTGACCTGGAACTCACTATGTAGCCCAGGCTGGTCTTGAACTCACAGTGATCCTCCTGCCTCAGCCTCCTGAGTGCTGGGATCACAGGAGTGCGCCACCACGCCCGGCTCTTATTCTGAAATTCTTAATTTTTTAAAGATCTTTTAATACTAAATTTGCTTGAGTATTTTTGAAGGAGAAAACATCTTTCTCCCCTAAGCAAACAGCAATTATTTTGGAAGGATTTATAGATCTGCCACTGTCACTGCCACCTTACTCTGATACTGTTTACATTTTGCAGGATGCTAATGAATGTTGGATACAGATGATGCGAGTGCTTCAGCAGAAGCTGGAAGCCATAGAGGACGATTCTGTTAAAGAGGTAATCAGAGTAGACCTGTGATCGTGGACTTTCACTGCACTGTTCTCTTGCTGGTGTTTGTTTTCTGCCCCAGACATTCTGGAAATAAATTCATCTTAATCACTAGACATCTGTTTGGATACTTTGTATATGCAATCTATAGTTGGAATCTAATAGCTTGCATGGGATATTTAGCATTATTTATTACACTTTATCAATTTTGTTGAGCATCTGTAATCTTGTACTAGTGTTTTTGAATTGTAAATGGATTTCACAGAAAAGAACTACATTTAAAAAATCTTAAATGTGTACTTCTGGACTGGCTTGTGAAGAAAATATATTAATATTTATATAGAGTAAGGCTGGAATTTTTTTTTTTTGTACCAGGGGTCTAGACCTTGCATTTACAAGGCAGGCAGTGGCATCACTGAGCTAAATCCCCAGCTCATGGAATTTTAATTTCATTTTCATTTTTTTGCAGACAGATTCTTCATCTGCATCAGTAGTGACACCTACTAAAAAGAAAAGTCTAATTGATCAGTTCTTTGGTGTTGAGTTTGAAACTACGTATCCTTATGAGTCACAATTTGTCTAGACTATATTCATAACTTAAAGAAATAAGTCAGCGTAAACAGCAGAGTTGGCTGGTTGGCATGTGGTGGGATAGAAGAAGAAAAACTCTTTAGCGATTTTTATGCCTAGAAAATGATAGCAGAAATTAGGAGTTACTAAAAATACACCCATTGGAGCATTCATGAAGTTTAGATAAATATGTATGTCATAATAATACTTGGTATTTTTTCCTAAGAATATCCCTAGTAGAATCTACCTCATTAGTATCATAGAGAGTTCATTTTTAACTGTATGGAATGAAGAATATCAATTAAATTGCAAGCATAGGAATATTCCAAGTCATCACACATTAATTCAAGGAAGATGTATTTTCTAGGTTGTGAGTGGAAACTTGGAAGAGATTTCTGTTTATTTTCTTTGGTATCAACTTATATTGCTGAGTGTTTGTTGAATTTTAATGAACTCATTCTTTATAGAGTTGTTAGAGAGCAGTGAAGATTTATACTTATGTTGAAGTGTGATTCTCTGTTGGGAACAATATATTTTAAATACCAGTGAACGATTATTACTTGAATAGCATTGGGGTATTTATTATATCAAAAATTATGTAAGAAATACCTGTTGTTGGCATTCCTTATCTTATTTTGCAAAGCATGAAATGTACAGAATCTGAAGAAGAAGAAGTCACCAAAGGAAAGGAAAATCAGCTGCAGCTTAGCTGTTTTATTAATCAGGAAGTCAAGTATCTTTTTACAGGACTTAAATTGGTAAGGACACACTGGGTCTGTTTTCATTATTTGTGGATTCCACATGTACAGATACAACTGCTTGCTAATGTTTGTGCCCTAAGGACCACACTTAGTGCTGATAGCCCCACTGTCAGTGTGGACGTGTTGCAGAGCAGTGCAGGTTCTGAGTTGACAGGCACACCTGCAGTCCTAGCTGAGGTCAGACTGATTGCTCTGCGGTAGTTTTGATTCCTTGTCTTTTTGTTGCTAATGTGTTTTGTCGGTGATTTAGTGTTTCAAATGACCCTCACCCAAGGTGCTCAAGTTCTCTGTTGTGTTCTACATTACGGGAAGGCTGTAATATGCCTTAACCGAGAAGCACATGAGTAGAGAAGCTTCATCTGGGCACGGTTACTGTGCTGTTGGCTCTATGTTCAGTGTTAATGAATCAGCCCAATATATGAAATGAAATGTCTTCAAACAGAAACACATGCAGCAAGGTTATGGATTTATTGTTGATGGAAAGGTTGTGATCAGAGCTCACAGGAACCCAGGGCAAGTGGTTCAGGATTCATTCATGCTCAGGACGATCTTACAGAATAGAACATAGCTACTGTGAAGAGCAAGAAACAGCTATATATTCAGAAATGAAACCTCAGAATCTCATTTCTTAGACAAGAGCATTGTTAACAAACATGGTTTTGTAAATTGTGATTATTAGTATCAAGGCATCAAAAAGTATGTGTAAGTGTAAATTGGAGAGTGCAGAATGAAATGCTTTGGCAGGAGCTCTCCAGGATCATATTTTCTTTATAAATTATGGAACACTAAATATAATTGGAAGGTCTAGATCAGTGTTGGCGAACCTTCTAGAGCTTTCAGTGACCCAAACAGTCCACTGTGTGACACGTACTGTAGCTTCAACCCCACTGGTCTGCATGATAGTGGTTTGGTGATAGCAGGTGTTACATCACTGATGAGGACATCACACCAGCTGTACTTTTCTTGAAAGACATGTTCATAGATCTATTTATTTCTTTTATAAAATTTTGAGTTTTTTTAAATCATTCTGATTATTCTTGAGTAATTTTGCTGTGTTGCACTCCTCTTTTGTTGCTGAATAAACTTGGCTAAATGTGATTATAATTTTAAAAAGTAAACTTTAAAAGTTAGGCATGGTGGTGCACGCCTGCAGTGCTAGCACTTGGAAGGCTGAGGTAAAAGGGACTCTTAATTTTAAGAGTTTGAGGCCAGCCTGAACTACATAGTGAGAACCTGTCTCAACACTTGCTCCCCCAAAATTACATTTCAAAAACATTATTACAAGTATAGCATGTTTAAATATTATCAGTGCTGTTTTAATTCAGGTTTCCTTTTAATGTAGTAGTGGTAGGTTTTATGATCACATAATGTATATATATATATATAAAACACTGGAAATAGTAGCCAGTCTTTTTTCAATATGAACTATACACCAAATAGTTTCCCAGGTTTTCTACGTATAGGAACTCATGTATTTCTGACATTGGCACTTTTACTGCCACCTTTAACAAATGATTAATGTCTTGCACAGTGACACAGGTTGTCAGAAGTGGAATAGAGATCATAAAAGTTAAGACAGGAATAATGGCTAAATGCTTCCTGGGATCCATTAGTTAACAGAGAATTGTATGATGGCTTCTTAGATTTTAAAAATACTTGATTGATACTGGAAGCCTTTTGTACATAAAGCATAAAGAACAAAGGTTTCTGCCTTAAGTATTCTGATAATCCATAATTGAACAACAGAGGTTTTGTGAAGTTATATAAAATGCAGTATAAGTTCTTGGAGTCTGAGCAACATTTGGGTCATAGCTGAAAACTGGAAACATTGTTGATACTCAAGAGTTCACAACAGTATAAATTATTTGATACCTTATAAGAATTGAGCATTATCTAAAACCTTTCTATACTGGCTTCATTTGGATTATTTCTCAATGGTACAGACTCAAACATATGCTGTATGTTGTTTAGTAAGTGGTACTACTTAATCGCTTCTCGGCCTTTTGGCTAAGATCAAGTGTAGTAAGTGGTACTACTTGGTTAAAAAGAATTAGAGTGTGATTCTGTATTGCAGAGAAAAATCTTAAAATTAATATTTGGTTGTCTGTAATGTACTTTTTTAGCGACTTCAGGAAGAAATAACCAAACAGTCTCCAACATTGCAAAGAAATGCTTTGTACATCAAATCTGTAAGTTGTATATTTCCTTTGGAAATTGAATACCATTCCATTGAAAAGTTTCCAGTTAATTTTTATCCCATCTTTTAAATTACTTTTTTAACCATTATGGAATTAAAATGTGTGATAATTGAATGTAAAGGATTTCTTTCCTTTTTCTCTCCTTAGTCCAAGATCAGCCGGCTACCTGCTTACTTAACTATTCAGATGGTTCGATTTTTTTATAAAGAGAAGGAATCAGTAAATGCCAAAGTTCTTAAGGTTAGTAATGAGCTTTAGTTTGTATTAAAAAATTCAATTATTTGAAGGCAATACCTAACTTATAATAGATTCATTTGTTCCTTTAAGGATATGTTAAGCTATCTTTGAAGTATTTAGAGGCATCATTAACATTAAACTAAGTATGTCTATTGGGATTATTTATTGTCCTATTTCCTTTTTGGGGGGCAGGTACCTGGGATGGAACTCAGGACCTTGTGCTATATCCCTGGCCCTTACTGTCCTATTTCTAATTGTACATACTCCTGGCTTCTCCGCATAGCCCCAAGCATCTGATTAGGTTTCTTGGGTGAAACCTAGGGTCATATATTTGTTAAAAGATTCCCAGGTAATTCTGATGGATCTCCAGCACTCCTACAAATACTGTCCTACACCACATCCTTCACTTTATTTATTTATTTATTTATTTAGTACCAGGGATTGAACTCAGGACATTGCGGCAGAACCACTGAGCTAAATCCCTGGCCCACACATCCTTCACTGTAGAAGAGCTGATTTGGTAGGATCAGGAAAAGAATACAGAAGGCATTAGAGCACATTATATTCTAGGTGGTCCCTTTCCTCCAGGGAAACAAAGTTAAGTTGCCAGTACCCAAAGACTATTGAAATGGTAATCCCTTGCCTTAGGGGCCAGCCTTGCCATTTAATGGTTTCTGTTGAGACGTTGGTCTGCTGTGTGACTACAGAATTCCTGACCTTGGGAGAGGGACATAATTCTAGCTTCTTGAGCTAAAATTCATATCATTTTTATGCTTAGTGTTATATGAGAACATTAGTATAGTTTAAGTATCTACTAGTATTTATTTCAAAAATTATTTATTTATTATTATTTTTTTTTAGTGTGATACTGGGCATTGATTGAACCCAAGGGTGTTTTAAGACATATCCAGCTCTTTTTATTTTACATTTTGAGATAGGCAATTGCCCTGGCAGATCTCAAACTTAGTGATTTTTCTGCTTCAACCTCCCAAATAGTAGGGTTACAGGCATATGCCACAGTACCTGGCTTTAAGTGTATCTTAGTAGAAGTTATTGAACTATATCAGTGTTGTTTTATGTGAAATTATGTTTCAGATAAGTTTTCTAAGTTTATTTCAGTGTTGAGGAGCCATTGTTTTTACAGCAGCTGTCCTAATGTTTCTGAATTGATGCTTTTGTTACGTGAATTTTGGTTCCATTCTGTCAGTTTTATAGGCTAAAATATGTAATGGAAAACATAATTGAAAAGTTCTTACCTTAAAAGAATTAGAAGTAGCTGGGCATGGTGTTGCATACCTGTAGTCTGTATACTCCGAGAGGCTGAGGCAAGAGGATCACAACCTGAGCACAGAGTGGGAAATTTATTGATTTAGGGAGACCTTGACTCAAACTCTGGAGATGTGGCCTAGGGCAAAGGCCTCCTCCCACCCCCCAAAAAAGTTCTTCTTGAGAATAACTTTTTTTTTTTTTTTTTTTTGGTTTTTTGAGACAGGGTCTCACTATGTAGTTCAGACTGCCCTGGAACTCACTGTAACCCAGGTTGGTCGCAAACTCATAGCGATCCTCCTGCCTCAGCCTCCCAAGTGCTGGGATTACAGGCATGTACCACCATGCCCAGCTGAGAATAACTCTTAAGAGGTTTTCAGTGTACCACAGTCTTCCACATGATCTTCACAGATTTTTTCAACTTTATTTGATGAATGCATGACTTTGAAAATGTGTCTTTCCAAACAGTATGTGTCTTCACATTTTTTTTTCTTTATGGTATATTTGTAGGATGTTAAATTTCCCCTTATGTTGGATGTTTATGAACTTTGTACACCTGAACTTCAAGAGAAAATGGTCTCTTTTCGATCAAAATTCAAGGATATAGAAGATAAAAAAGTGAATCAGCAGCCAAATACAGTAGGTTCTTATTGCTAACTTTCTAGTATAACTAATCAGTGCTCAGTCGTTTTTTTTTGTTAGTGAAGTGGATGAGCCCCTTTCAATTATACATTCTATATACATAGTGCCTTAAGCCTTTAAAGTTTTAGATGTAAAACTTAACTATAGCATAAGAGAAAACTCTACCTATGGTAGTTTTTATTATGTAAGCAGCTTAGTATTTTCTTTCCCCCTATAATCTGCTGTTTGTATTCCTTTTATATATATGTCCTGAAAGAACTTTGTGTAAATTCCTAGCATTTTCAGTGCATGTTAATATTTTCCTTGTAAGGCATAGACTTTTTTAGGTAAAATCAGGTACAGAATATTGGTTTGCTCATGTGTGTTGTGGTAGGTAACATCTTTTCGTGGGTGCTGTGAGTATGCCTGGGAATGCTAAAATTAGAACTGTAGCAACTTTATATTTTATAAATTGTATTATTTCAGGTTCAGTTAAGGTAGACTGGATTATATGTTGAATTTTTTCTTCAGAGTGAAAAATTTTCTGGTAACCAAATTTTAAAATTAAAATCTGCAGATTATCACATCTGTATGCTTGTTCAAAGCACTTTTTTCACCGTTTGCCAGACTGTCCTTGAACTCATAATCCTTCTGCCTCAACCTCCTGGGTAGCTGGGATTGCAGGTGTGTGAAGCTAAAAGTACTTTTTAAAAAATTAAACTTTGAGATACTTTCAGAATCACATGCAGTTACAAGGAATAATAGAGAGATCGCAGTCCTTTCCGCCTGCCTCCCTTCACTGGTGCCCTCCTGCCCGGACACTCACGGTGGCAGCGCACACAATGACACGTGTGCAGCGCATTTCCATCAGCAGCACAGGCCTTCAGGTGCCCTTTGTAGCCATGGACTCTTTCCTTCTGTCTGCTCTCCTTAGTTCCTAGCAGCTACTAACCTGTTTCTCTGTTTCTTTAATTGTCCTTTCAAGAAAATTTTGTAGTAAAATCAGAGCCCTTCCGTATTTGAAGGTAACCCTTTTGGGATTGACTTTTCTCAGTCAGCGTAGTTCTCTGCAGTTTCATGCACATCGCTGTGTATAGAACTATAGTTCCTTCCTTTTCATCACCACACAGTATTTCCTGGTGTGGGCACCAGTTTGCTTAATCTCACCGATTGAGGGGCGTCTGGGGTGACTTTAGGTTGTCTATAAAGAATAAAGCTGGGATAAACATTCATGTACAGAGGTTAATGTAAACATAAATTTTATTCCCTGGAGTAAGTGCCCAGGATGCATTTGACTGGTTGCTTGGGAGTTACATGCTCAGGTTTTGAAGAGCAGCCAGATGCTTTGCTGCTACTTCCTTCCATCAGCAGTCTGTATTGCCTCCGGCTTTTGGTGTTGTCACTGTTTTCCTGTGAGCCAGAGGACAGGTTTGTGGCCACATCTCTTACTTTCTTTGCATTTCCCTAGTAGCTAATGAGGTCGCTCATGTCTTCATGTGTTTACCATCTGTGTAGCTAAGAGGATCTTTGCTGAAATGTGTCTTTTGCTAGTTTTCTAATTGGACTATTTGTGGTTTTACTCTTCTCAGTTTTGAGTTTTCTACTTGATGCTAGTTTTTGTTTGTTTGGGTTTTTTGTTTGTTTATTTGTTTTGGGTACTGGGGATTGGGTCCTTGTGCTTGCAAAGCAGGCAGCGGAACCACTGAGCTAAATCCTTGGCCCTAGATGCTAGTTCTTTGACATGAGGGTTGCATGTATTTTCTTCTAGGCTGTAGCTTGTTTTTCTTCCTTTTATCATAGGATCTAAAGATTTTTAATTTTTGATGAAATCAAATCTCTTTCTAGTTTGGTCACTTGTGCCTTTGGTGTCAGATCTAACAGGCTGAGGCAGGAGGATCATTGCACATTCCAGGCCAGCTTGAAATACAGTGAGACCCTGGCTCAAAAAACCAAAAAAAATAGGGTTGGGGCTTTAGCTCAGTGATGCTCTGCCTACCTCACAAGTGCAAGGCTCAGAGTTCAATCCCCAGTACCGCAAAAAAACAAAAATCCCCAAAATAAAAACTATTTCCACCAGACATGGTGGCAAATGCCAGTAATCGTAGCACTTGGGAGGCTGAGGCAGAAGGATCGCTGTGAGTTTGAGACCAGCCTGGGCTACATAGTGAGTTCCAGATCAGTCTCAACTACGTAGTGAGACCCTGTCTCAAAAAACCAAAAAACAACTAAAAAAACTATTTCCTAGGCTAAGACTGTGAAGATTTTATATTTAGGTTTCCTTATTTTGCAATTTTAATTCTTTCATTTAGGTATTTTGGTATATTCTGGGTTATATGATGTGATGATGTTCAGTTTTATAGGTGGTACCCTGGTTTGTGAACTGAATTTGTTTTAGGATGTTGGAGACGCTACATTTGTGTACGTGTGGGGAAAATCGCTGTGGTTGTGTTTGTCATCCCATGTGGAGTTTGAGAACAGAAGCAAAATTTGGCTGCATGGTTTTGTTTATACACTGAATTGCTTGCAAACAGAAATGTTCATGAACTGAGGTATTACTGTATTCTTTTACATGTGAGTATTCATTTATCTCATATTCTAAAAAACATTAAAAGATGAGGTTTTGAGACCGAAGTGTTGGCACCTGTGTGGAGAACTGGCTCTCAGTTTCATCCCATTGTCATACGTCTGTTTTATGCCAGTACCTCAAGGTCTTGTCTTCCTGATTTTCTGAGGAGGATTGGAATTATACATCCCAACTTGGTTCTTCACTTGGAAGATTGGTGTAGTTGCTTTATTTGAGTCTCTCGATTTCCACATGTGTTTTTAGGATCAGTTATTTATCCATTTTATAAGAAAACACACCAAAAAAAGCATTTGGAGTTTTTGTAGGAATTGTATTGAGTGCATGGATCACTTCGAGAGTGTTGGCATCATAATGGTATTATTTTCAATAAACTTGATAATTGATTTTTTTTTTTTTTTTTTTTTTTTTTTTTGGTACAAGGAATTGAACTTGGGCCCTTGTGGCAGAACTACTGAGCCAAATCTCTGGCCCAGTTGATGTGTTTTTGGTCAGGTCTTTAAGTTTTTTCAACATTGTTTCATAGGTTTCACTTTACAAGTCTTATACTACTTTGGTTAAATTTGTTCCTAACAGTTTTATTTTTTTTTTGGTGTTTTTGTACTGGCATTGCTTTCATTACATTGTCTGATATGCCTGGCTAATGTGTAGAAATATGGCTGGTTTTTGGTCTTTTCTTCTGGGTACCAGGGATGGAACTTGTGAGACACCTTTTGAGACAGGCGGCAGAACCAATGAGCTAAATCCCCGGCTGGCTGGTTTTTATTTGTTGATTTATCTTGAATTTTGCTGGATTCATTTATTAGCTTTTTCCCTGTTCTTATTTTGAAACAGGTTGTGAAGAATTGGTATATATTAAATTACAAATTCAATTTCGTATTAACTGGATTGTTCACATGATTTATTTCTGACTAGATGTATTTCATGTTGAGTATTGGTAGTTCTTGTTTTTGCAGAACTAATTTCATTATCTGTAGACTTGTTCCCTTTCATTGTCCTTCTGGTGCCCCAAGGGTCTGTGGTGATCTTCTTCCTTTCATTCCTAGTATTCGTAATTTATATCCTTTTATTTTCCTGCTTGCTTGAGATTGCTAAATTTATCTTTTTAAGATGCTGGCTCTATTCTGTTGGTTTTTATCTATTTTCTTAATTTTATTTTTGACTCTTACTTTCTTCTGCTTGCTTTGGTTTTATTGGGTTCTTTTTCTGCTTTACTTTTTATTTTTCAGTTTTTGGTGGTCCTGGGAATGGGACCTAGGGCTTTATGTGCACTTAGACAAGTGAGCTTTTCCCTCAGCCATTTTTGTATATTAGATTATTAATTTCAGATTTCCCTTCTTGTCCAGCCTGTCCACTTAATACTATAAACTCATTCAGCAGTGGTTTTGCTGTGTCCCACAAATTTCAGTATATTTTCAATTAATTGCTTCTTGTATTTTTAAAATCTCCTGAGACCCCCTCTTATACCAGGTACCTCCTTTTAGACCATGCATTATTTAGAAATGTTTAAATAATTTTTCTCTATTACCTGTTTTGATTCTAGTTGGATGCCACTGTAGAACACACATGATTTAAATTGTTATATATGAATTCTGTTGGTATGTTTAGACCACCTAACGTTTAATGCTATTATTGATATATTACCATTTCAATCTGTTTCTTTTTGCTGTTATTCTGTTTTTGTTTTTTGTCTTTCGGGTTACTTATACATTTTTAGAATTGTGTTTTATCTGTGATGTATTACTGCTTTTTTAGTGGTTACTCTAGGTATTGCATTATATAAAAAAGAAATAGTTGACCTGCTTACTCTTTGCTTTAGGGAGGCCCTTGACTTCTTACCACCCCAGTATCTTTAAACTGCTGGCACTGTCTGCATTCCCATTATAGTTTTCAGGAAGCTGGCACCCATGTCTGGAGGAGATATATACACTGAAGTGAGTTGAGGTAGTACATTCCTACTAAAGGTCCTTGTCTGTGTAATCAGACCTCTTTATACATTTATCTTTGCTAAATACATCAGTACATGTGAACTAAAGCACAAATGGACCAGGCATGGTAGCACACGCCTATCATCGCTGCTCTCAGGAGGCCGAGGGAGGAGGAGCATCATGAGTTCAAGGCCAGCCTGGGCTACATAGTGAGTTTAAAGTCAACCTGAACTGGGTAGGGAAACCTCAAAAAAAGTGAAAGACGGCCATGGCTTAGCAGCAGTTTATATAAATTGTAGTTATTTGACTTAGTTTCTTTAATTGAGGTACTTCCCCACCCGTTAATATGGTTTGATAGTATATTGGTAAAATTACAGAACTGCGCGGCTAGATTCCCTGTTACCTCCTCTGTCAGTGGCTTCACATTGATCCTAACATGCAGGTGTCTTTTGCTGTACCCTTTGAAGGTGGTTACGCGGTTAGAGTAGGCAGGCCCTGGCTTTATGCTTGAATTTGAACTGTTGTATTATTTGAGTCCCTCCTATGGTAGGTCATTATTTTGCCTCAGTGCTTTGCACTGTATTTGTGAAACTGAACAATTAGCAAGAATACAAATTTTATTCCCGATGTCATGATTTAAAATTAAATACTTTTTCCCCTCAGAGTGACAAGAAGAGTAGTCCCCAGAAAGAAATTAAATATGAACCTTTTTCATTTGCTGATGGTAAGTGCAATTTTCATTTGTTTTTTTGTTTTTTGAGACAGGGTCTCACTATGTGTACTTGAGACTGACCTGGAACTCACTGTGTAGCCCAGGCTGGTCTCGGACTCACAACGATCCTCCTGCCTCAGCCTCCCGAGTGCTGGGATTACAGGCGTGCGCCACCATGCCCAGCTTTCATTTTTTTTTTTTTAAATATGTATGCATGTGTTTTACTTGTCTTGTTACTGTTATCTGTTTATTCATTTTAAAAATTTTTTTGGTACCCGGGATTGAACTCAGAACCTTGAGATTGTATGGCAGGTGGTGGAACCACTGACCTAACTCCCCAGCCCTGTTATCTGTTTATTGAGGCTGCTTGAGAATAATTTGCCTTAATGTGACAGAATAAAAGTCCCTCCTTTAAGTGTAGAGCTGTGGATGGCATACTTTTTAAAACATCATTTGTGGTCTTAGCTGTGACAGTAACATCTTCCTGGCTGCAAGTAAAGTACTCACTACTTTCATGCAGACCTGAGTTATTCTTGTCACCTAGGCACATGTATGTTCACACCTGATGTTAATGGGTTTGCTTGCTTCTTTTTAGATATTGGCTCCAATAACTGTGGATACTATGACTTACAAGCAGTGCTAACGCACCAGGGAAGGTCTAGTTCTTCAGGCCATTATGTATCTTGGGTGAAAAGGAAACAAGGTAAACATCTGTTGTTTCATCAACTCTTCAGTACTGTTTTGTTAAAGATTTTATAGCTCTGTGGAGGTGTTTTTGTTTTGTCTTGTCTTTTGAGACGGTCTCCTATGTAGTCCAGGCTGGCCTTAAACTCTTGGCAATCCTCCTGCCTCATGTACTGGCATCTGCTGCTGTGTGTGGCCATTCTTAATAACAAAGACTTTGCAGCTTTAATGAGGTTTATATCTCTAAATATTTCCAATATTAGCATATAAAGCTGAGAGACACTCCCTCCATACAGAATTGTGTTATGTTCCAGGCTTGCCTTGAACTGTGTAGCCCAGGCTGACCTCGAATTTGTAATCTTCCTGCCTTGGCCTCCCAGGGTGCTGGGATTTACAGGAGTACATCACCACTCCCAGCTGAATTCATTTAAAATTCATAGTACTAGGACCGGGGATTTAGCTCAGCAGCACCGCACCTGCCTCCCAAGCGCAAGGTCCTGAGTTCCATCTCTAGTATTTAAAAAAAAAAAAAAAAAAAAACAAAAAAAAAAACAACACCATTTGAATTATTTAAAAAAAAAAAAAAAAAAAAAAAAAAAAGTAATAAAACCCATTACTCATTAATCTAAATGACAGTTAAAAGTGACATTTTCCCAAACAAAACTAGGGAGAAATGGTACCATTTTACATTTTTATGTCTTTGTTTTTTCTAGATTATAGCTAGATTCGGATTCTGCATTGAGTCTTGTTACTGTCACATGCCGCAGGGCCTCTGGACCCCGAGGCGGGTGCAGGGGAGGGGCCGGCCTTGCTGTACGTGCGGAAGCTCCGAGGTGGCCTTGAGCTGGTGCCACTTCAGTCCGAGCCTCTGTGGTGGAACTCGGACTTGGGTGTAATGTTTTCCCCTTCTGTTATTTAGATGAATGGATCAAGTTTGACGACGATAAGGTCAGCATCGTGACCCCAGAAGATATCTTGCGGCTTTCTGGCGGCGGAGACTGGCACATCGCTTATGTTCTATTGTATGGGCCCCGCAGAGTGGAAATCATGGAAGAGGAAAGTGAGCAGTGATCTACTTAGCTATTTATGCTTAGGTGTGAAATAAATGTTACTTGTTGATCACTTCTATAACCCAGAGCTTTAGAGGAAGATGTTTAGGTGGTCTTGTCTGTTTCCTCTTGTGTGGAACAGGAGAGGACAAAAGCAGACCGCTTTGTACATCACCCTAAAAATTATGGAAAGAATATTACCTTTGGATTACATACGCTGTTCTCTGTAAAGGTGGCTGGAAGACAGTAAGAGCTCATTTCTTGCATTAATTTTTAAAAATTCTTAGTTGAAATGTCTTTCAACCATTACCTCCTGTGGTAATTTTTTCTCCTTGCCTTTTGGCACAAGAGTCAGCAGTGATGTTTATTGCACATCTGTTCCCCGTTGTTTGTTCTTGCATGGTCCATGTCACCATTCAGTGGCTGCCCATCCTTTTGCCTTATCTAACAATCATTTTTCCAAGAAGGCGGAAAAGGAAATGTTGCTCTCAGTGTGTAACTCAGTGCTGCTGTCCACTCCCATGAAACATGGGTGCAATCAAGTATTTGTCCAGCCTATTGCTGGCTCTTCATGACTTTTAAATAAATTGTGATCAATAATAGTACATTTGATTATACATTTATTATCGTGTCTCTCTGATGTAGTATGGTCTGTACATTTACCTTACAGTGGTTTATGGTAATCAACCCTTAAAAAAAGTTGACAAACTGCGTACCTTTAGAAAGTGAGGACATTTAATTTAAAGAAAAAGAGGGGTTAAGAGCTTTTGACAGGTCTGTCTCTTGAGTGTTGGAGCTTGGTTGAAAATTCGGGAATGTCTGGTACTCTAGTTTCTAAAGATGCCCAGCGTTACTGTCTGCCCACATCCAATTTCAACAAAAATAGGAAGTGGTGGGTTTTTCTGGATGCTGAATGCAGTGATGGTAGCAGTTACTGTCTGGAAATTGCCAAAGTCTTAAGGTCCATGTCAAAATTTAGTATCAGTGGTTTTTAATTGATGGTAGGAAGCACCAAGACTGAGGTAATTGAATATGATTGGTTTCTCACATTTTAATATTTTAATTACTCATCTTTGTCCTAGGAGTCCTGATTGGTCAAGAAAGGATAAAGAGTAGAGTTTTAGCCAGTTTGATTGACTTACAATGAAGTTTAGGGATTATCGTGACATCTCCCCTTTGTGTGTTTTGAGAGCCGCAAGGGACAACGGCCACTTCCCTCTGATCTGAGTAACGTGATGGCATCCAACAGTAAGGAATCAAGTAGTATTTCAGAGATACTAACCTGCACATATAACTTCATCGAAACCCTCTCCTCCACAGGGGAGGATGAAACCCTAAGAATTGTAATGACTGTGTAGTAGTCTTTTTAAGCTCATTGTCTCATCTGGCTAGACAGTTTTAGAAGAAATGTATTTTCTCACCTGCTGGATGCTGATGCTACCAGAGCAGATGAGGTAGGTTAGAGACACACTGTGTGAAGCCCTTGCATAGAATGTACTAGAATATTTAAAAATTATTTCCTTGTCATTAAAAGGCTTGATTTCGCTTCACTTGGCTTAAAGTATTATTCCAAAGATATTCTTAACAATTGGATTTATACCAGTTTTTTTAACTAACAGGGCTATTTTAGAATTCAGCCTTCATTTAAGGTCTGAGAAGGGAGGAGCCAAAAGAAAGAGGGTCTCTGTTCTGAATGTGCCTTACTCGCTGTGCTGACAGGGTCCCTTGCACAGCCCTGCCTGAGCTGGACATGAGGCCTGAGCAGTGGTGGCCACCTAGCATGCTGCTGCTGTGAGGGGAACGGCGGGGGCACCGTCTTCAGCCAGGCACTCAGCATGGTGCTTTGCTGAGCACAGGTAGTTTCCACATTGCATTCCAACTTCACAGTAATCCCAGGGGTTACTTATGGGTCATATGATTTTTATAAGGCTAAAAGTGAGATTTTAGGCTTGTTTCGTTTAAAGTTGGGCGCCAGCAGGTTTTTTTTTTTCCTTGTAATGGGCCAGATAGTAAATATCTTAGGCTTTGCAACCCCAGCCCCTACTCTGCTGTGGTACTGCAACAGTGCCAGGGACACCTGGGAATGAGCACACTAGGTGCCAATAAAGCTTTACAAAAACATGGGAGCAGAGCTGTGCCTGGGCCACGCCTGTAATCCCAGCACTCAGGAGGCTGGGGCAGGAGGATCTCTGTGAGTTCAAGGCCAGCCTGGGCTACACAGTGAGTGCAAGGCTGCTCTGAATTAGAGTGAAACCTTGTCTCAAAAAACACATGGGGCACAGCAGCTTTAAAGTATGAATGAGGTTTCAGTGTCACTTTGATTTCAGAAGAGCTACATTTTATAGCTACTAACAGCATGCAGAACCATAACACCCCTAACAGCGTATTTTCCTGTACGTGTGCTTACGAAGCTAATTCATGATCTGGAGGTCACTTCCCTTTGGCTGTTTTCCATGCCCATCCCCCCATCTCTGAGGTTTGAGCCAATGTGTGTTCGTTGTTCTTGGAGCAACAGCCAACTGTACAACTGTTATAAAAATGTTTATTGTTTACCAAAACCAGTGGACCTCTTATCAAATGCTGCTTGGTAACAAAATCTTATCACAGTTTTAATAAAAAAGAAAAAAGATGTAAGCTAACTGCTGGTCTCATTGTCATTAGTTAGACTCTCTGCAAGGTCGCTTAACCCCGACTTGTTCAGTGCGCTGATCAGATTATCAGGTGTCGCGTGGATGCCCTCTTGGTCCTGCCAGGCCACCAGCAGCTGCCTTGCTCTCATCTTCATGTCTTCACTGTCACATTCAATCTGCCGGATTTCTGAGTCTTTCATTTCCAAGTGAGGAGCCAGAATCTTCCACTGTTCACCCAACTTGTTGGCAAATATTTCTATCTGTTCCCCAGTCACAGGTTTATCCCGCCGAACATCAGGACCTAGCAAACAATACAGATCACGCGCCAAGTTCAGTGACTTACAATCCCAGTGTACAGCAGAGGTAGAAAGCTTGGGCTGCTGAGTTCGTCATCACCTTTCTGAAGTTGTGCTTTAAAACAGTTCTATGTTATATGTGGGTTGAAAACCTCTCTTCAAATCATGATCAGATTGATAATCAAAGGTAAAGCTGTTACCTGTCTTGTAACTGTGAAGACTTTCCCTGAAATCAACTGTTCCCCACCAATTCCCAATGGAGAGAGGAATGACATTTTGCTTTAAAATGTAAGTACCTTCCTTCCCCTTATACAGCACCATTCCTTCCAAATTTTATTGTATAAAATGTATTTTGATAGTATGTAAGTCAGAAGCAGAGCGGAGATAAAACAGAAGTTGAGAAGTAGGCCAAATTAACGTACCTCTCAACACAGAACCCCAATCTTTTCCAATTTTGTAAAACAGCCAAGAAAATTCAATTCTTACTTTCATTTTCCTTCAGTAAAGCATCATTATCTTCCTCATCTTCATCCTCACCTGTTTTTATTTCTTCAGAAGGAGGCTAGAGATGAGAAAGAAGAATGCTGAAAAGGATGTGTTTCTGAAGTAAGGTCAGCTGCAGGTGCTTTGCTTAGATAAGACCCACTGTGACCCCCAGTGCTGCACCAAGGCCCTGCCCTGCCCTGCCCTGCCCGAGCGTAACTGTGAATGCCAGGTAAGAGGCGGAGCTGGGAAAGTCTGAATCAAGGAGGCCTGGAGGGAGAGCCATAAATTAGCACCCCCCAACCCCGCTAGGGGGCATCAGGGAGCTGGTGAGAAGCACAGTACCCATTAGGCAGGCACATCAGCGCTAGTGTTACAATATAAGAAAAGACAGTAGGAACACAGCCCAAGTCTTCGGTAGAAGGTGATACAATGCCAAACTGGAAAACTTCATGCCTTAAGTTTCAGAGAGGGAGTAGTTTACCCAAGTATTATGAACTTAGATTATTTGCTACAAAGATGATGATTAACTTACTAGTCTGGTTAATGTACATATAATCAACACATTTTCCCCCTCTAAGAAATGGTTTGTAGGTAATTTGGAGCGGGGGTACTGGGGACTGGACTTGGGCCCTGCACTTGTGAGGCAGTGGTGGAACCACTGAACCAGATCCCTGACCCTGTAGGTCATTTTTAAAAACATGATAAACTAAATTCAGTCTTTGTTCAAATGGAGCAATGGCAACTTTAAAGAGGATACTGTCAAATAAGGGCTTTGAAAAAATGCTGTTACTTACTGGTAGTTCCTTGGCTAACTTTATTACCATGTTTTCAAGATACTCTGGCAAGCTTTTAAACTGCTGGTTGGTCGGCTGGAAGAAATGTGGGCTTCTCCTTGCCAACAGTCTCAGGGCTCTCCAGCCATAATTTGAATTGTTCACAGCTCTATAAAAACAATGACAGTACTTTTCATTTTCTATTCCTGTATTCCCTTCTACTTAATATGATTCTGCCACAATTTTATACCCCATGGGCATTGCCCAAAGCATTTTCTCATTCTAACCCTAAAGGACCGCTCATTGTGTATCCATGGGCAGAGAGCAGAAATCAACTGATTTGTAAACTCTAAAGAGCAGGCTCAGGCATGGCCAACACATTCTCAAAGTTTACATACATTTTATTTAACTTTAACAAGTCAGCGCATGGACAGATGCAGTGTTTAGGACAGGACTCATCCACCTGTCACTTGAATCATGTACCTAAGCTCAGTGACTTGACAGCCACACTTGTCACCTACGGATGTTAGGTTCAGAATATATATTCAACACTTGGGTTTTGATGGTACAGCTGAATACACACTGAAGATCCCTAATCCAAAAGTCTGAAGTGCACCAAAACCTGAAGCTTTTTGAGTGCCTCAACTGGAAAAGCCTGTGCAAATATCATATCCCCCAAGACTCTGAAATCTGAAGCATTTTGGATAAGGAATACTCAACTTGTATTTTGTTTTCTGTTTATACAATAAACACCTAAACTTTAATTCACTTGATACCGGCCTCAGTAAATTAAAAATGGCTCAGGCTGGGGATTTAGCTCGGTGGTGCCACCACCTGCACCCGCAAGCGCAAGGTCCTGAGTTCAGTCCCTGGTACGGGGGGTGGGGGGGACACTGAAGGAAATACCCAGTAGCCAACACAGTAAGCAGCAAAGCCAAGAAAAGAATCAAGAACTGGTTCCAGTGGAGCATAGTCTTGGACAGGACATGGGGATGGGGATCAGAAAACAAAACCTCTCAGAAATTCTAAAGATAGCAGGCAAAGGTGCAGAAAAACTTAGAGGAAAAGCTGACTTCATTTTCAACTTTTGGAAGTCCCCGCCCCCGCTCTCAAGTTCACAGACGAGCTGCCTGGGTGGTTTGTGTCACACACAGCTCCAGATGCCTGTAGTGCTGCAAACCTGAGAAACTGCCCTCAACAGTGCAGACAGACTCTTCCAGGTTAGGAACTACTACGAGGCGTTGCCTTCCCCACTGACATCTGTTTAATCCATTCAGTTTTTCATAGTTTTGAAGTTCCAGGTGTTTTTTTTCTCCAGAGATGAGCAGCAGTCTTACTGAGCAGAAGCACTCCTGAATCCTCAAGCAGGACAACACTGGGTCCACAGTGACTTTCTTTCCCTTGCCTTTACTGAGGATGGACGTCAAGAGTCCCCTAACTGGGAGACATTCTGAGGCAGGGCCTTGGTACCCGACAGTGTGTCGAAGTGCTGGCAAGCTCAGAGCATCAGCCATTACAGACGCAGCAGGCATGAGAAAGCCAGGAGACCAGGGTTTCGGAATGGGAAGTACCATGGAGCGAACACTACAGGAGTGCAGGGAAGCAGCACCTGTGGCTGGGTATGTGGGGAGGTCAAGCCAGGGGTTCAACGTGTGCAAAGCTCCAAAGGGAAGGCCTTGGAGGGGAAGAGGGAGACTGCTGTGTGAGAGACAGAGGGGCTAGAGTGACAGGAGCCATAGCAGGGAGGCCTAGGAAGGTCCGGAAATACAGGCACCCTCTAGTATGTCATGCTAGAGACTCGACTTGGGCTTTATTTTTCGGTGTATTATTTTTTGGCTGTGTAGTTCAGGCTGACCTTGAACTCAATAGCCCCCAGTATGGCCTTACAGTCACGGAAGCCCTCCTGCCTCAGCCTCCTGGATGTTGAGATTACAGACGCGCCATGTACCGCCACACCCAGCCATGCACATTTAAAGATCAGCTGCATGGAGAACTGTAGTTACATGAAGTTACGAGGTCAGAGCAACTGTACAAACTTATCACAGGGTCTCAGTGCTCAAGAATCCTGAGTGCTAACTATACCATTCATGGTTCAAAGCGAACCCTTATTTAATCCCCGGAGTAAACCTATGAAAATGGGCAATGTCACTTAACGAAGGGCTGGGGCTCTGTGCTGGAAATGGGAACCTTGGATACCTATTTAAAACAGCCTGCGTCACGTCAGCCAGAAAATTCTAGACGAAAAGGCTGACACAAGTCCTAAAGTTCCTTTCATATGTGAGTGGACAGTGGAGACGGAGGTGGGGTGGCAGCAGGTGAAAAGACAACAGGTTGGAGGATGCAGTTTTGAGGATGCGAAGAGTCACTGGAACCTGAGGAGGGGTGGGCAGTGCACAGGTGAAAAGGGATGTTTCTGGTCAGCTTGCTCGATGGCTTCTTCACGACGAGAGGTGACAGGTGGGAAGTGCCGCAGTGCGCTGAGCAGAGGGCTGTGTGGAGGGAACGGGCAGGTGGCAGTGGGTATGGAGTTGGGGGGACGAGTTTTCCTACTGGTTTGAAACATGGAGGATCCAGATCCTGCTCGATAGTAGGAGTAACCTTGGAAGCTGCAGCGTGCAGCAACGTGAAGAGAGTAAAATCCCAATGAAGAAAAGCAGTCTGCTGACTGCCCTCCTTATTAGGCTCTGATATATAAATGCCTAAGAAAAGATGTGGAGGAAATTAAAATTTGCTCATGAGAAACATTACTTACTTATATTCATTTTCAACCATGTTTTCAGGGTCTGCTTGTTCAATGGCTTCTTCAAAGAATTCCTCCAACGTTGGCATGTACTCCCTGGGTATTACACAGTAACAGTGAGGACCACATATTTCTGTTTTTCCTTTTCTTCTTCCTATTATGTAGTCTAAGCTGGCCTCAAACTCATCGCAATCCTCCTGCCTCAGCCTTTCAGTGCTGGGATTATAGACATGTCACTACACCCAACAGGACTAGATATGTATATATATTTCTAATACTCACACA